AGTATGGTTTACCCACGAAATATACGAAAAGCAACGAATCCACGATCATCAACACCATCCACAACATGTCATGGATTTCGTTGAAGTCCGTTGATTTCGTTGGGTTCGTAGATTTCTGTTGATTCGTGAGTTTCGTAGGTTGCCACGAACGCATCTTAAGTTCGAAAACTGAATGGCGAGAACCCCTTGTTCCACTTGGATTCTTGAAGACAATATTGGCTGTTGGCGATTTAGAGAATCCAAGAACCCCACGGCAATCAACGAAACCCATTCAATGCATGGGCTTCGTTGGTGTTTGGCACTTCCGTAGGTTTGTTGGTTTCGTGGGTTTCGTGGATTCCCAGGGGCGCGTCTTAAATTCGAGAACTGGATGGTGAGAACCAATTGTTTCATTTGGATTCTGGAAGGCAATACGCGCGTGTTGGGGTCCCACGAGCTCACACAATCAATAACAACCAACGAACTCAGCAGAAGTTCGCGGGTGTTAAAGATGTTCGTGGATGTCGTTGATTTTTATCGAATTTCGCTGATTTCGTGGGTTGCCACGAACGCACCTTAAGTTCGAAAATTGAATGATGGAACTTATTTGTTGCATTGGGATTCTGGAAGGCAATAGGCGCGTTTTGGGATTCCATGAGCCCACGCACTCAACAACAATCAACGAAATCGACACAATTTTGTGGATTTCGTTGGTGTTCATGGGCTTCGTCGGTTTTCCTGGATTTCGCTGATTTCGTGGGTTGCCACGAACGCGCCTTGAGTTCGAAAACCGAATGATGAAAACTAAATTGTTGCATTTAGAGTCTGGAAGGCAATATTGGCATTTTGCGTTCCCGCGTAATCGCCGACAACCAGCGAACTCTACAAACTGTCGTGGGTTGTGTGGGTTTCGTTGGTGTATGTTTATTTGTTCGTGGGATTCGCTGATGTTACTGATTTCGCGGATTTCGTGAATCCCCAGGAACGCGTCTTAAATTCGAAAAAGTGAATCGTGACAACAAATTGTTTAATTTTGCTACTGGAAGGCAGTATGCGCGTTTTGGGATTCCACGAGCCCACGAAATCAACACCAATCAACAACACCAGCATCATTTAATTGATGTTTATAGATTGTCGTGGATGTCGTCGGTTTTCGCGGATTTCGTTGTTTCCGTGGGTTGCCACGAACGCACCTGAAGCTCGAAAACTGAATGGTGAACACCAATTGTTGCATTTGGGTTCTGGAAGGCAATATTGGCGTTTTGTGATTCCACGAAATCAGCGAAAAGCCATGACATTCCACGAAAGCAATGAAAACCAACGGAATCCACGACACCTACGACATCCACATGATGTTCGTGGATTTCGTGGATTTGTGGGATACGAAAGCGCTCATATTGCGTTCCAGAATCCAACTGAAACAATTGGTTTTCACGATTCAGTCTTCGAACTTAATATGCGTTCGTGGCAATCCACGAAATCAGCGAAATCCGCGAAAACCAAGGAATGCCACGAACATCCACGAAATCCACGAAAGGATTGTGTATGTCGTTTGTGTTTGTTGATCTGGGTGGATTTCGTGGAACCCCCAAATCGATCAACTCATACTGTATTCCAAAACGCAAATGAAACAAGTGGTTTTCACCATTAATTGTTCGAAGCTAGAATGGCATGCTGCGAGTTCCACGACATACAAGTTTCGTTGGTTTCGTGCAATCACCGAAAACACGCGCTCGTTAAATTATATATCCTTAGCGCGACGCAGCGATGATTTTCGCGCCTTCCTTTTTTCATGAAGCCAGCTTGTATTTGATGACGCCGCTATTGTTATGCGCCCCCCCCCCTCGTGGGCGAGTTCGCAGATGCTCGTGGCCGCTCATGCCACGATTGCAGATGTTTCGCAGTGGCGCAGGATGGAGCGTGGAATTTTAAATCCCACTGAATGTGGGAAAGGAGTAGGGTTCCCGCGCCGTGGCTCTCTGCCCCGGGCCCCCCCGCGCCCCCAGCGCCCCAGCGGGGGTCCCGCCCGCTACACCCTCTCAGCCACGGACGCTTTATTCCGCGCCCCCCCCCCCCCCCCCCGCGCCCCCAGCGCCCTGCCGGGAACCCCGCCCAGCGCCAGAGTGGGACCCCCGCGCCGTGGTTCTCTGCTCCGACCCCCCCCCCCGCAGGAGCCCCGCCCATTGCCCCTTCCGCCGCGAACGCTTTATTCCGCGTCGCCCCCACCTCCCCCCCCCCGCGTCGCCGGCGCCAGAGTGGGACCCCCCGCGCCGTGGCTCTCTGCCCCGAGCCCCCCCCCCGCGTCCCCAGCGCCCCGGGGGGAGCACCGCCCAGAGTGGGATTCCCGCGGCGTGGCTGTCTGCCCCGAGCCTCCCCGCGCCCCCGGCGCTCCAGCGGGAGCACCGTCCACTGCCCCCTCTGCCACGACCGCTTTATTCCGCGCCCCCCCCTCCCCCCCGCGCCCCCAGCGCCAGAGTAGGATTCCCGCGGCGCGGTTCCCTGCCCCGAGCCCCCCCGCGCCCCCAGCGCCCCAGCGGGAGCCCCGCCCACTACCCCCTGCTGCCACGAACGCGTCATTCTCTTGCACTGGGTGTCTAGAGCTCCGACCACTTTATTCCGCGTCGCACACCCCCACCCCCGCGTCCCCAGCGCCAGAGTGGGACCTCCGCGCCGTGGCTCTCTGCTCCGAACCCCCCCGCGTCCCCAGCGCCCCAGCGGGAGCCCCGCCCACTGCCCCCTCCGCCACGAACGCTTTATTCCGCGTCGCACACCCTCCCCGCGTCCCCAGCGCCAGTGTGTGACCTCCGCGCCGTGGCTTTTTTGCCCCGAGCCCCCCCGCGTCCCCAGCGCCCCGGCGGGAGCCCCGCCCAGTGCTCCCTCCGCCACGAACGCTTTATTCCGCGTCGCACACCTCCCCCGCGTCCCCAGCGCCAGAATGAGACCTCCGCGCCGTGGCTCTCTGCCCCGAGCCCCCCCGCGTCACCAGCGCCCCAGCGGGAGCCCCGCCCACTGCCCCCTCCGCCTCGAACGCTTTATTCCGCGTCGCGACGCACACCACCTCCCCCACCTCCCTCCCCGCGCCCCCAGCGCCCCATAGGGGCTCCGCCCCGTGCCCCATCCGCCCCGACAGTATTATTCCGCAGCGCCCCAGTTGGACCCCCGCCCCGTGGCCCTCTGCTCCATGATCCGCCCAGCGCCCCGACCATTTGATTCCGCGTCGCGACGCGCGCCGCTTTCCCCCCTCCTCTCCGCGCCCCCAGCGCCCCAGTGGGACTTCCGCCCCGTGCCCCCTCCGCTCCGAGCACTTCCTCCCGCGTCGCGACGCACACCACCTCCCCCCCGCTCCCCACCTGGGATTTGGGCCCCGTTGCTGGGCCCCGAGGGGCGATGTCTTGCCCCCTGTTCCCCCATCCTCCTCCACCTCCCCCTTCCTTTTTGTGCAAGAGCCATGGCACGCGTGCCAGTTGTTCCGCGTCGCACCCCCCCCCGCGTCCCCAGTGCCCCAGCCCCCCCGTCCCCAGCGCACCAGTTGGACCCCCGCCCGGTGGCCCTCTGCTCCAAGCCCCGCCCAGTGCCCCTTCCGCCCCGACCATTATTCTGCGGCGCGACGCACGCCACCTCCCCCCTCCTCTCCGCGCCCCCAGCGCCCCAGTGGGACCTCCGCCCCGTGCCCCCTCCGCTCCGAGCACTTCCTCCCGCGTCGCGACGCACGCCATCTCCCCTCCCTCCCCGCCTGGGATTTGGGCCCCGTTGCTGGGCCCCGAGGGGCGATGTCTTGCCCCCTCTCCCCCCCTCCTCCTCCACCTCTTCCTCCTCCCCCTTCCTTTTTGTGCAAGAGCCATGGCACACGTTCCATTTGTTGGTTGTCGGCGCTCTTCCGCTTTTTTGGGGGGGATGCGGAGATATTATTACCGAGCTGTGTTTTGCCGAAGGGATCATTCCTCTGTGCACGATGCTCTCCAGCTGCTTTCGCAATGTCTGGGTTTTGCCGCCTGGTTCCTTGCGAGGGGCTTCCATTTCTGAGGGGGTCTTCGGGTTTCCTTGATTCCTGGGTTCCAAGGGCTCCTCGGCCTCTTGGGATCACGCCCCAACCTGTCGAGGGTTACAGTGGGTGATATTGCGCCAGGCGCATCGGTGCCAGGTTAGCTGACCACCAGAAGGCAGCGACCCCTTCACCAGCGTTTGTTCACCCCACATTCATACTTCGAACGGCGGCTTTGAGTGAGCTCATTGCCATTACTGTGCAAGGCATGTCTTGCGGCAGTGTCACCTTCAGACATTCCGAATAACGCACATTCACAAGCCTTGCTCAGGAGCAACATCGCGAACCTCAGGATGCGCTGCGGTAGTCATCTCGCAGCAGCATGCTTCATATTCGTTGGCGCCCAGGCTATGCAGCTGGGGGTTGGGATCGTCGGCCAGGTGGTTTCGGTGGACAATGACTGGTTGGTGGGAATCAGCACGCGTGGTGGCATGACGTGCAGCGTAGAGGATGAGTGCCTTGTGGGCTCTGGCGAGGGCAGTTGCAAGGTTATGGTAAACCCATCGGTACCGATTGAGCTGGGCAGCACCGACTCGGGCTACCATTGCGACATCGCGTTCAACGATTCCCTCAAGTACAACAGAGCAACCCGATTCAGCCGACCCAAATCGGACATCACCATTACGGGGTACTCGCAGCCGTCGCATTGGAACCTTTGTTGGAAACGCAATTCTCCAGACATCGATCGCCTAGCGTTGCGAGTAACAGGCGTGGAAGATTATTGCTACTACGTCAACGGCCTCTGCTACCTATGGGCGTCTCCGTGCTCTGGCGGGTGCTCTTCGCTCAATGCCTTTTCTACATACTCGTCGTTCTGCCCTACGCTGCGCTATGCCACGGAAGCGGAATGGAATGCTGCTGTTCCGGTGTTGAACGCCAATCGAGCTTCGTTCTACCAGAAGTGCGCATCTAGCCAGTTGGATCCACGTTGGAACCATTGCGACTATTCGAACTTGTTCGTGCGGGTGGAGGATGGCTCATGGAACGAACTGGTGGTAGTGTGCCCGTCCAGCCTTGCGCCGAGCCTTACGCCCAGCCCGACGCCCAACCCGACGCGCTTCCCAACGCCCTACCCTACGCCCAGCCCGACGCCCAGCCCTACGCCCAGCCCGACGGCCTACCCTACGCCCAGCCCTACGCCCAACCCTACGCCGAGCCCTACTCCTCACCCTACGCCCAGCCCGACGCCCAGCCCTACGCCGAGCCCTACGCCTCACCCTACGCCCAGCCCTACGCCCTTCCCTACGCCCAGTCCCACGCCAAGCCCGACGCCCAGCCCTACGCCAAGCCCGACTCCAAGCCCGACGGCCAGTCCGACGCCCTATCCGACGCCGAGCCCTACGCCTCATCCTACGCCCAGCCCTACGCTTCACCCGACGCCAAGTCCGACGGCCAGCCCTACGCCAAGCCCGACGCCCAGCCCCACGCCAAGCCCGACGGCCAGCCCGACACCCAGCCCGACGCCCAGCCCTACGCCCAGCCCCACGGCCAGCCCTACGCCCAGCCCGACGCCCAGCCCCACGCTCCACCCGACGCCCAGCCCAACGCCGAGCCCTACGCCAAGCCCGACGCCCAGCCCTACGCCCAACCCTACGCCGAGCCCTACTCCTCACCCTACGCCCAGCCCTACGCCTCCCTACGCCCAGTCCCACGCCAAGCCCGACGCCCAGCCCTACGCCAAGCCCGACTCCAAGCCCGACGGCCAGTCCGACGCCCTATCCGACGCCGAGCCCTACGCCTCATCCTACGCCCAGCCCTACGCTTCACCCGACGCCAAGCCCTACGCCCAGCCCCACGGCCAGCCCGACGCCCAGCCCCACGCCAAGCCCGACGGCCAGCCCGACACCCAGCCCGACGCCCAGCCCTACGCCCAGCCCCACGGCCAGCCCTACGCCCAGCCCGACGCCCAGCCCCACGCTCCACCCGACGCTACGCCGAGCCCGACGCCAGCCCTACGCCCAACCCTACGCCGAGCCCTACTCCTCACCCTACGCCCAGTCCGACGCCCAGCCCTACGCCAAGCCCTACGCTCCACCCGACGCCAAGCCCTACGCCAAGTCCGACGGCCAGCCCTACGCCAAGCCCGACGCCCAGCCCCACGCTTCACCCGACGCCAAGCCCGACGACTCACCCGACGCCCAGCCCCACGCCCAGCCCTACTGCCAGCCCTACTCCCAGCCCCACGCCAAGCCCGACGGCCAGTCCGACACCCAGTCCCACGCCCAGCCCCACGCCCAGCCCTACTCTTCACCCGACGCCCAGCCCTACGGCCAGCCCTACCTCCAGCCCCACGGCCAGCCCTACGCCCAGCCCGACGCCCAGCCCTACGCCGAGCCCTACGCCTCACCCTACGCCCAGTCCGACGCCCAGCCCTACGCCCAGCCCTACGCTCCACCCGACGCCAAGCCCTACGCCAAGCCCGACGGCCAGCCCCCCGCCCCCAGCCGGCTCGGCGCCCGCCATGAGCGGAGCTGCAGGGGCGCCCGCAATGGGGGGAGCTGGCGGGGCGCCCGCAATGGGTGGAGCCGCGGGAGTGTCGTCAGGAGCCATCTCTGCAACTGGCGATCCGCATTTGCAGAACGTGCACGGTGAGCGTTTCGACTTGATGAGGCCTGGCAAGTTCGTCTTGATCCAGATACCGAAAGGAGAGCGTGCCGAGGACGCACTTCTTCGTGTGCAGGCTGACGCGCGCCGACTGGGTGGGCAGTGCGCAGATCTGTACTTCCAGGAGCTGAATGTCACAGGGGCGTGGGCGGAGGCGACGCAGGCTGGAGGCCTCCGTTTCCAAGCTCGCGGCGAGGTCCACGAGAAGCCGATGTGGGTCAAGTTCGGGAAGGTTCAAATCAAAGTTGCCTATGGGACCACGAATGAGGGCGTCCAGTACTTGAACTTTTACGTCAAGCACCTTGGGCATGCTGGGTTCGCTGTGGGAGGGCTGTTAGGAGAAGATGACCACAATGAGGCAGCGAAACCTTCGCCGGCGTGTGTTCACCACACCTCCCTTCTTCAAGTAGGGGCTCTGAGTGGTGCGCCCATGTTGTCGGTTGCAGAGGCGAGTTTCGCATGATAACGTGCGATCCCATTATTTTGATCTTAAGCTGCACGATCTACTCGTGGTGGTGTCGGATCCTGGAGCGTCAACGTGCTTCCCTCGCCTCGGTTGCAGGACACTCGGTTTCGCGGTGCTCAT